GTGGAGCAAATCTTAGACTGCATTCTCCCATTTTTAAGCCAAAATAAGTGTGCTGAACTTCTGTTCTGTTATGGGTGTAAACCAGTTTCCAATCACTTATATCAGAAAAGGTGTAATGTCTGTATCTGGCCCCAGATAACAGGTTGAACCAAATACAACACTGACAAGTGCAAGGTGCTGCACCTGAGGAAGAAGAACAAGAACCATACCTACAGGCTGGGGAACTCCCTTCTCGTCAGTGCAGAGGCAGAAAAGGATCTTGGAGTCATCATTGATGCCAAGATGAACATGGGCCGGCAGTGTGGGGATGCAGTTAGGAAGGCCATCCGCACCTTGTCATGCATCCACAGATGCATCTCGAGCAGGTCCAAGGAGGTGATCCTCCCCCTCTACGCGGCACTGGTCAGGCCGCATCTGGATTACTGCATCCAGTTCTGGGCACTGCACTTCAAGAGGGATGTGGACAACATGGAGAGGGTCCAGAGGAGGGCCACTCGCATGATCAGGGGGCAGGAGGGCAGGCGGGACCTGAACCTGTTCAGCCTCCACAAGAGAAGGCTGAGGGGGGATCTAGTGGCCTGTTACAAACTAGTCAGAGGGGACCAGAAGGCACTGGGGAAGTCCCTGTTCCCCCGAGCACTACCAGGAGTGACCAGGAATAACAGTCACAAGCTGACAGAGGGTAGACTCAGGCTACATATCAGGTGGTGTTACTTCACGGTCAGAGCAGCTAGGATCTGGAACCAACTTCCAAGAGAAGTGGTGCTGGCTCCTACCCTGGGGGTCTTAAAGAGGAGGCTAGATGAACACCTTGCTGGGGTCGTTTGACCCCAGTACTCTTTCCTGCCATAGCAGGGGGTTGGACTTGATGATATGCTCAGGTCCCTTCCGACCCTACAAACTATGAAACTTCAGCATTATCTAAAAACGTTCTAAAATAACATCAGTGTATGGGTTTTCTCAACATCTTATACAATCCTCTAACACCAATAGTCGTGGATTTTCTCCATTAATTCTTATTTTTTACCTCTGCAAAATGGAGCTGGAAAATCCCATGATGCACCATTTCCAGGACTCACAATACACGTTAGCATAGCATGGCCCTCCAGAATATAGCCTGATACACAGCTGTATCTAATTTTGTCTCCAATGTTGAACCTAGTTCCATGAAGTACTCCTTTGGGTATTTCTCCTGGGTTTCCACAAGTGTGGCTAGGTAGCACTGTTGAAAGAAGAGAACAGGAAAAAAAAAATACTATTAACCCTTGAGAAAAGAAATATCTTGCATTATTTTTTAATCAATATATATAGAATCATTGTTAAACACCTACTTTCCTTTTAGTTTTCTTAGTCTAATATCAAGAATGTATACCTGGACTATGGAATACATTTTAACAAATAGTAAGGTTTACCGTTTCATCACTTTCACATGCGAGTTCTGAACCCAGTCCTTTGATTTAACATTCCATCAATACTTCATATTCCCATCAACTCAAAACCAAATGGCATTATGCCCTATAAGTCTAGCTATTTCTACTGCAAGATGGAAGAAATAAAAATGGTCTTATGCAAATATTCCAGGTCCTTTTAGATACTATTAAAAAAGGATCCAAATATATACACAGTTTCTTTAATCTTACATACTTCTTAAAAAACAGATTCCATCTGACTTGCCTGAGTAAAGGCTTGATCACCGTTTGCCCCTATTTAGATGATTTTCAGTTTAGATAAATGTACAGTTTTAACATTTAAAATATAGGAATTAATTAAAATACTCTACAGTAACAAAATTGCACTTTCATTCTAGGAGTAGACAGAAAATTTAAGGAGATCAACTATGAAAAACTGAGGTTTGACAGGGCAAGGGAACAGATTTATTGTATTTTGGGCAAAAAAAAAATGTTATTGTTTGTAAGCAGATATACCAGATTACCTAAAATACACAGCATGCATATAGTACTCCTCAACTTAAAAACATCCAAAATGATAGATGTTTGTTTTTCACTTGGCTTGGTGATCTAGTACTTGTAATAATATGGAGGTATTTTGTTTTGTTGGCACAGTGAAAGACAGCATGTATGAGAAACAGTAACAGCAGTACCTAGAGTACTGTCCATTCAAATATATGAAACAGAGCCAAAGTAAATACATTCCATAAAGGAGATCAAGGAATTTGAGACTAATTCAGGCATTGCTTCTGAATCCCTGTTTGGTCATGGACAAAACATTTAACCTCTCTCCCTCCTCCCTCTGTGTTGCTCCATTTGTAAAATAAAGAAACGAATACTTACTACTCTCTCACGGGCTTTGAGAGGATTAATTAGTTAATATTTGTACAACACTTTTGAGGATGTAAAGCACTATATCAATGCTAATTAGGTCCCAGGCATCAGACAAGTGTATTTATTGGACGTACATCCTTAGTGGTTCATCAGTAGAACACTTGGCAGCGCTAGCATTGAAATAGTCATAATTACACTTAAGTTTAAACCTATCAGAACGTTTAAAAGAATTTTACGTTAAAGGCCCACATTTAAAACAACTTACTGGTTTCTATAAATCAAAACAATAATTGTGTTTATATAAGTCTTTTCACCAGAAGATCTCAAACCTCAAGTATGGCTCATAAAACATAACAAACCTTGTGAGTTAGGCAAGTTTGTAGCTGTTTTAGAAACAATTTAAGGTACAAAGAGGTTATAGGATGATTTAGTTAGCTCAGAGAATAAGTGGTAAGGCTGGGGGGACAACCCAGACCTCCTTTTTTCTGCTTTTGAATCTACAACCAAAAGGGCTAGAAAATGTCATTGGTTCCAAACTGAAACCTAATCTCTCTCATGGGGGAAAATATTGTGAGTCTCAGCTTCATGTTAGTAAATTCCATAGAATTTTGGGATGTTTAGCTTCTGATTATCTGCAGCTGGGGTGTCAAACAAATAGCTCGTGGGCCAGATCTGGCCTGTGGAGCCATATGATCTAGCCCAGGGGTCTCAGAATGACCCTGCAGCTACATGCAGCAAACAGAGCCAGTCTGGCATGTGGGGTGGATCTGGTTCTGCATCTGGCACCCTGCCAGAGCAGGCTTGAGCTCTGGTCCCACTCCAGCCTCACCGGGCCAACAAGGCTTGATGAATTTGACACACCTATTCCACAGAAATCAGATATAAAAACCATTTTATTTATGTATACATATAACAGTGCAGAAGCGATACACGTCACATAAATGCAAAACAGTATAATTCTCTGTGAGTTTATTAATTGATGGTAAATATAAACATTAATTAAGTTCAATTCACAAAGTGGGCAACATAATTTATGCAAACATAGTACATGTTTATAGGCAATTTCTTAATTGTATGAGTCACATTGTTAGGATCAAAACTGACAACAGTATGATTTTTATTAGAAAGATGTTATTAAAAGCAATGCAGTTTTATTCTAAGTCATAAGTCAAATGTGTAGCAGTCCCTTTCTTTATTTCAAGGACACTCATTACATGGCTTATATATAGTGTGAGACCTGAACATTGATGCAGGAGCCCATCTCTATTCTTTTTTTTTAATTTTACAAAGCCCTATAAGCAGACTTATGATAAATCTGCTTCCAACAGTATAATTCCCTTTCCACACAGGTTTTTCTGGCTGATGTGTCATATGAAAAAAGAACCCCCCTCCCATTTATTTCCCCCAGGCCCACCCCCACACATACAGTATTCACATGAATTCTGAAAAACATCGTTCTGAAGGAAAGAGGTATCATAGCAAATCTACACCTCTCAAATAAATGATGACTGAAGGTAGCAAACAGCTGTCAAAAATCACACTGCACCAATCCAATCTGCCATCCCCATAAAGAAACTGTCCTACAGTGCAACTTTTATGAGATTTTCCTCTCACTACTTCTGTCAAGAACCACTAGAAATAATGGAGTTTGACTCCTTGAGGTTACCAACATTTTGCAACAACTTACTGAAAAACAAAAAAAAGATGAGTGATCTAAGACTGATAACCATGCTCAATAAAATATACCATAGTTCACAAGATATCATCACTTGTCAAGATAAAGAACTATCTGACAGGATTATATTATTTATGAGCTTTTCTAAAATTTTCAAAGTAAATTGGTGTGTAGCTGCACAGGTCCCTTCTGTGGAATCTACCATTTCTAGTTGTGCATCGAAAAAGATTTAATAGACTGGAGCATGCAATCAATTGGATGCCTTTTGACCAAAGCTATCCCATATAAAGGTCAGATATATCCTTCAGACTTGGACTTGAACACAGAAGTTTTCTTGTGAGGATATAAGGTCCTCAGTAAAAAGCTATTCTCCTGCAGTGTTAATGAGTCCACATAAGAAACACAGTTCTCAATAAAATTTACAAACCCTGAAGTCCCTTGCCTAAGGAGCTAATAAAAAGCAGCAGGCTTCTGGTCTCAGATGCTTTTCATTTATCAAAACCTTTGTTTATCTCTAGCAATGTGACTTCCACAACGGGGACAATGAGGTCATACTACATTGAAGATAAGGGCTTTCATAAATGGAGGACACCTATCATAGTTCTTAAATTTGTACTTCCTACCTTCATTCAAGAGAGGCAGCTGTACCTGGCAAGTTCAAATGTAAAAAATTATGCTACCAAGGAAAAAAAAAAACAGTGCAATCTGTCACTTCTAAAAATAGCATCAGTAGTTATAACAAACTGAAATACATATAAAATGGCCAGCCAAAATAGCCAAATAGCCCATACATTTATGTACTCTATATTAACATTGAAGCTAGCCTTGGTCAGTTGACTACAGTGATTTTTCTTCCTTAGCAGCATAGCTTTTGCATGACTTTGTTGGATCCTGGAGCCCACAAGCTACAGTTCAGATGAAGATCCTGGAACCTCTTGTCTCTCCAGACCACAGTTCCATGTGGGAAAAAAGGTGCAATAATTTAGTGCATTATTTCCACCCTGAGATATTGGCATGTTGTTACCATATTGTATCTCTTTGTTGAGCAAGGTTTGGCTCTTCCAAGCTGTAAACTGAATCATTCATGATGTTCATAGGGAGATCTTTCAGTAAAAGTTTCAGAAAATCAGTAAATGCATATAGTCACAATTTAGTGACTCAGTAAGTGTGAGAGGGCCATTCCAGGGCCAGTCACAATATTGCCGCCCACCTGTCTAGAGTAGTCCGCCCTGACTCATCTGCCGTGCCATGATGCAACAAAGCCTGATGGAAAAAAATGCGGGAGGCTGCCCATTTTGTTTCCTGATGCCAAGGGCATAATACATGGCTCCAACCTTCCCTTTACCATGTCCCATGCCTTGCAGATGGCATCCAAACTGGCTTCCAACTCTCCTGGACCCATTGCTGGGCCACAGCAAGCCATTGGTCCTAACTTTGCCTCAGACATCTTCTGATATACCTTGGCCTGGCCTCTGGCCCAATTTGGCCTCAGGTATCCTTAGACATGCCTGGGCCACATGTCCCCTCACTGGGGCCACCACTTCACCCACTCACTGGGGCTTCTGGGCCTTGCATCCCTTGTACCTCAGGTGTTTGTCAATGTGCCTGGATTCCACTCTTGGTCTTCAGCTCACTCAGGCCCCAGGCATCTGTTGACATATCTGGACCCATAACTTGACCTATGGCCTACTCAGGCCTCAGGTGTCTGTCAATATGCCTGGGCCTAACTATCACTCAGGCCTCCTACTATGTCTCACTTGTTGGACCTCGGACCCTTCTGGCCCCTGTGTTGTCCCCCAAGCCTCACTCTTTGGGCGTTGGGCCCTCCTGGCCCCTGCGCTTTTGCCAAACCCTGGTGCTTTTTGTCAGGTTGTGCTCCCCTAGTCTTTCCCTTCCACAGCGTCACCCACAAGGCTTTAGGGCTGAGGCTTTCTGGTGCCACATCCTCATCTTTCACTAGGGAGGAACAGGTGTGGCGTTTCCTAGAGACTTCCCCCCCCACAAGCACCCCCACCCCATATTTATCCCACATTA